GGACTGTCATGTAAGAATATAAAATCGACAACTCGACTTGCATACAAATAACGATTTAGCTGTATTTCCTGCAAATTCCAAAAAAGTATCGGCAAAGGAAATACAGAAAGCTCACGTAATGAATGAATTTAAATTAATTTCTATAAAAAGTAACAAAATATAGATGAAAAATTCACTTCTCAAATTATTAAATGGTACATACATTTTGTGCAATATCATACTCTTCACTATACAAACACGCATCCCACAAATGTGTATCACCACAATTAGTTGAAATCCAAAACAGTCGATCAGTGAGGGAATGAGCTTTCTTGATGTTCTGATAATGACCATTCACATTAACGTTTTCACGGAGATCGATGACTGACTGATCTATCACATTTACTGCTAGAATTGATCCCGTTTTTGTTAATAAAATTAGTCTGGAATTTTCGGGTTCAGCTTCAAGTGCAAATGCTAAATATGGAAGCTTTTCAGTAACCGAAAATGGAAGAATCTGAGGAGCATTCAGTGGGAATAACGGTAACATGAATACTTCTCCACCGTTTAATATGCAGTAAATATGCCTGAAAATTTTGTTCTTGACAATTTTCTATTTGCAGCAAATAAAGCTGAAAAAAATGTAAATATTACAGTGGCAAACGTATATCAAAAAATATATAAAGGTGGTATAAGATAATGTATATTTTTTGACAAGCATATTACTTTTCAAATACGCCCTTGTTAAGATTTTAATTCATTTCAGAAAATAAAATCACTGATTAAAAAAGAAAATTCCTTACCCATTCCATGAATCCACAGAAATATATTCGATATAATTGATTGTATTGGTTGTTAAAATCGTTGGATTGTCACAATCATTTATACCACATCTAATTATAAATTTGTCATTTGCACTCTTTTATTAAGTGCATAAGTTCAAAATCTCTGAGTACAGTTCATCAAGTCTTATCCAAAATATCATTAAGATTAACATTTAATATTATCATCTATTATCGACAATTTTTGTAAAGGAATTAATAAATAAATCAAACTAAATCAGCCACCTTAAGATTCCTTTTTTAAAAAGAACGGCATAGACAGTATCTTGTAAGTGATCAACATCCATATGTACAATTGCGGTACCATCTGGTGTTCGTAATAATCCACTGGATACTGATTCATCATCCATGCTTAACCAGTAAATGCTTCCATCATCTAATGCAATCAGTAATCGTTTGGCTGATAACGAACACAAAGCTACAAATACCTCTATATATACCGATATTTATCATTATCTCTGGCATTCTTAGTAATCTTATAATTAAAAAGCTGCAACTTTGAAGATTTAGCGATCTTATCCTTCACTTCTTAACGGTATATATACCATAATCACGCATAATTGAAGAGATAATGATAAATATCGAGATAGAAAGTTATTATACTTCTAATATCAACCATATCAACTATTAGAAATAGATTAAATTTGGAATTAATATTTAATAACTCAAAAAAAAAAAATCTAAATCTGATAACAGCTGTAATGCTGATAATAAATAGAGTCGTGCTTGGCTTGTTTTAATGGTCAAAAATTGATCCAGTCTCGCAAATATATCTATCAAACACTATCAGTTACTGTTATTTTAACTGTTGTCATACGAACTTTAAATATCATGAGAATATAAAATGCTAAATCGGTAAAAGCTTGTTAGCTTGTACTAGTTTGCAATGTTGAGCAACTCATATTTGTATCGATTGTACTCGAAATGTATGAACTGATTGTTTTACCTGTGATGGATCTACCAGGTTTTAACTTAAACGGGATGATTTTCGGATCGGTGAGTACTGCATAATCATTAACATCATACAGTTTCATCAGTGATGTACCATTAGTAATGATCAATTGATTCCTTGATGGCAGATTTCTTTCTACAATTTAGAAGATACAACTGCTCTAAAATTTATGCTAGTTGATGTTGCATTTATTCAATTCTTTTGATCTAATGGCTATATTTTGTTTGTAAAAAATCTGCAATTTACCAGAATTCATTAGATCAATTCGTACAGAAACAGTAGCTGTGAGAGCAGTAATATTTGCAAAGCCAATTTCGGCACGACAACAATTGTCACTATTCAGTTCTTGAAATAAATAACAATTATTCTCTTTCAAAGCTGTTAACATTTCTCTACCATCAAGTGAATACAGCGAAATCTGCAAACAATTTATTTTATAATTCTAATACTGCTTTATTTCCATTTATTAAATAATTCCATAATCTCTATTAATTACTAGTCATAATTAGTACCACTACCAGTAACTGATAATATTTATATTTAATAACAGTACCAATGATAAATTATCAATCATTACATTACTCTTATCAAATACCAAAATATACATACTTTGTACAAACGTCGCAATGCACTTTTCCAACAAACAACAAAACTGTTCTTTGAAATTTGCAACTGCGATACAATTACTGGTGCTAATGGTACTGTATCATCGGTATCATTCACAGGTAAACGATATGTAGGAGAAACTGTGATGTAAGTACGCCAAAATACACATAGTCGAAGCTGAAGAGTAATCGTAGAAGTTTAGCATCTTGTGCGATAAACAAAGTTATAGTTGAGATGAAATGAATAAATAATAGTTACTTTGGTCGGAAATACAACATTATATTTTAAAAACAACACCTCAATTTCTTCACTAAAAACCAAAGGTACAATCACTGCCGCTCTCATTGTATCCAAATTGAATGACTGAAACAAACTTACTATTAACATTGAAATATAAAATATTAATTGAGTAAAATTAGGATTTCATACAAGTATGAAAATATTAGTAGTTTTCTCAAATCATGTATTGAGTTCTTTTTTTTGAGATGAATCAAAGCAAAAAGCAATTACAATTATTGGATTATAGTTCACGTATACAATCTCTTCTAAAATATATGAAAGTAAATAAGTAATTTCAAGGCTTTAATTTGTAGAACTTTTGTACCTTTTCATTGAAAATTGTAATATTCCAAGGAAATGATAAGTTTGCCGGACGACTTTGCACGGCCCATTGGACATCATGTAGAAAGATATCGTTCATTACTGAGCCATGTTCAGTATGTAAATTCCAAACTGTGCTCACACCCACCACTGATTCCTCTTCAATAGTAACTCGTGCGCCATTCAGCAAAACTTCAATTGCTTTTTTT